ATTTTATAGTTTTACCTGAGGGATTTGTTAGGGTGCTAGCAGAAGCCTGGTAGTGATTAGTCAGGAGCAAACTCCAGGATCAATACATACAACAACCTTAGCTCCCAAAAGTTCACAGTTAACGCACAATAAATTGAGTAGAGCTGTACAGTGCTGCAGCTGCACACTGCCAGGAGCAGCCCAATACCTCCATACTCATGGCTCCACTTACCGGCTACGAATTGGTTTAGGCAGATTGGGAGGAATGTTTTCAAGGAGGTGCTTTGCTTCTCTTTGTTCTCTCTCAGCAGACTTCAGAAGCTCCTGAAATTAGCATTAGACTTCATCAGAAATCTGAAACTGAATATCAATCAAGCAAGTAAAATTAGTTTACTATCAAGGTGATGCTAAAATAATTTTAAGAGGTGTTCTTTGCTCTCTCCCCATCATCTTACTTCTTTACTTTACTTCTTTACCCCCTACTTTCACTAGCAAAGCTCAGAAAAACAAAGCTAAGAGTGAGAAAACATAAGCTTGTGCATTCTTTCTCTCAAAGCCTCAGAGAAACTTGAGTGGGCAAGAAGTGAATCTTTAACAATATACCCTAGCAGTTCTGGGTAGGGGAACAGTGGTGGTGCTGAAGAGGTTCTACAGGAAACTCATCTACATTTCCCAAACAACACTTTCACGGAAGACATAACACATGACGGCACTGCAAACACACACTAAAACAACAGATAAATATTCTGATTAAATAGTTTTCATAGCTATTGCAAGGATGGAAAAGCAGAACTGCTCTTTAGGCCATTGTATCTCTTTAAAAGACATGTTTTCAATGTATAAACCTTGAAAAATAAGATTATGAATGTTCACTATGCTGGAGAGCTGCTTAATAAACCATGAGGATGCCTGCTCTGAGTCCCACGTTCACTTGTAAGCACATGTATCCAGACATATTGCTTAGGAACCAGAAAATAACAACTACGCACTTATCAAAGATCCCTTTGAATCCTTCAGTATTTTACAAACAGGAGAAAAAAAATTACTTTTAGCAAATCCTTCTGTTTTTTTTTATCTTGAACCTCTGCTTCCATTTTATTCAAGAGCTCGTGCAAGAGAACTGTCTCATGTCCTATTTTATAAAGCATAGATCTGAGGGATGGTTCTCGACCTGTCAAAGAGAGAGCGTTAAGCCAAAAAGCCAAAACACCTCCATCACAAAACCAAAATCCCATTTCACAACTGCTTGGCTGCAGGACCATGTCCTCCTTCATGATCTCCCTTCTGTTTAGGGAAGCTAGAAAGCTACTGCCCTCTTTGGAAACGTTCCTCTTCAAACAGGAGGTTAGCCTGGATGACCAGATAACTCCCCCAACCAACATTTCTATCATCCTGTGTAACCCTACTTGTGCCTAGGAAAGGATAAGAGATGAATCTAAAACATTCGATCAATTTCACTATGTCAGTTTCAGCAAGTTTGTTACCCACTGTGTGTCTGCATCACAGACAGGCACCCCTGGAATGGTAGGACAAGACACCTGTATAAACCTCCATCTCTGCTTTTGCAGATTTTTGTAATTAGGCTTAGCATACTCGCCAAAACATTTTTTCTTCTCCCATGCAGAGCTTTCCCCACCAAGTACGTAGCATATAGGGTACATTAACCACCAGTGTCCAAGTCCCTCACTTAGTTCATGTTCTCTGCTTGGCACCTGGTTCCCTGATAACGCTCCCATTTTGCTGCCCTCATCCCTGCCCACTTTTTTTGGTGTTATCTTCTGTACTGTACTTGATTTCCACCTCATGTTAGTTTCCTTGTCTAATTAGAGCATTCCCATTTCCTGCAAGGAGGTGCAAGCCAAAACCCACTCTTAATTTCTCTTACCTATGTTTCTTAATTTAAGAGACTTTTTAATGTTTGAAATCACCGTGTTGATGTGAGAGCATAAATCTTCCAGGTCTGAGGATGCCATATTGATCTATTATTATGATGAGGGAAAATCAAAATAATGCATTAATTTAAGAAAGACACAAATTGCAAAAACTAAGCACACAAGCAGAATTTTAGAAAGGGCCCTAATCTGTCCAAGAAGCAGAGGGAACTTAAAGCAGTAAACGTAGTAACTACCTTTTATTTTACTAATTGAGAAAGATGAGAGGAAGCACAAAGTGACTGCCGCTAGACAAAACAAAATTTCCCTGAACTCTGGAGATAAGCGCAGTATAATATCTGTACAACACTTCCTCACGAAACTGGGTAAGTCTTTATTCTATTCAGACGTTTCGTAGTGAAGAAGATGGCAATTTACTGCAATAGAGAAGAAATATCTGGTTTATATAAAGTAGTGGTATAAGGCTCTCCTGGGGATGATCAATATTTAATTTAAAAGAACAGTAATTATACAAAAGAAAACGTGCACTTCCTTGCTAGCAGAGCACGGGAGGCACAAAAAGCAGCATTATACGTGTGTTACTCTTGTGTAAGCATACTTATTAACTCTATTATAGACAGTAAGTGATAAAAACGCTGCTGACACGCATCTTCCCAAGCCCAGAGTAACAAACCTCACTGCCTGGCTCCTCGGTGTCTGCTCACGCTGCTCCCTCTGGCGGCTCGCACCTGAAAACGACGCTTTTCTCTTGCTTTTCGTTTCAAAACACTACGAACTAGCAGGCACGCTAAATATTACAGATTTGCCCCTCTCCACCCCTCAGAAAAAGCCGTTACACCCACACCCCCGCTCTGCCTCACGCCCTCACCCGAACGCGACTATTTCCTCCCCCCAGCGCCCCGCTCTCACCGCTGTGACGACTGGAACCAGCCTGTTCAGGGCTACGAGGAGAAAATTCAGTGAGAAAAGCGGTGAGGAAAGCCGCTTCCCCGCGGGAGGACCCCAGCCCACCCCGCCGTCCCTCTGTAACAGCCGCCGTTCAAACCCGCCGCCCTGCGCCGGCCGTTGGTGAGTAAAGGCGCCTGCGCAGCGCATGCGCAGGAGCCCGCTGCCGGCGAAGGCGGGAAACGCTGAGGGTGGGAGGTGCTGAGGGGAAGCGGGCGGCTGAGGCAGCCGGGAAACGGCCTCCCCCCCCAGAAATGGGATTTCCAGGACAAAAAAAACCTCCACAGCGTTTATTAATTGGTTGTATAAACTCAGTTTATTTCGGCATCCAACAGAAGACAGTCCTCGGTAAGAATTAAGGCACTTTTCAACATACACATACTGGTACGTTTCCTACAGAACATCATCACCCACCGCTTTGGGTGGGAGGGAGGGAAGATAAATAATCGGCTTACACTTACCCCAAACTCCTTTTTTTTCTAATTAGCTACAAATACAAAAGGTTTATTGCTAAGGATACACTGCTTATCTCTCAAAAAAAAAAAAAGCAAAAAAATCTTGCTTTTCCACAATTCCCTAAGAAAGAATAGATCGTAGTTCCCTCCCCAACTCTAAAAACAACACAAAAAAACCCTAAAGAACTGATAAACAGGTTAACGTACAAATGAGTTAAAGGAGGACCATTTTTAAATGGTGACCACATTCAGCAGACCTTTAAAACAAGAAAAACACAAGCAAGTTGGGTGATGCCACCAGACAACAGGTTATTGAACAAGAATATATCACCTTAAAAATTTTTAACAGTGGAAAAAAAGCAACCACAGACTTTCAGGGACGCAGGAAGGGCCGCACTGACCCCCTCAGCAGGCCCATCTACACAACCATAGCCAGCCAACGTGTCCTGCGACATCTTCCAACCTCTATTTACCTCACTAACTCTTGCAACTTTGACAATAAATGGAGAAGCACAGTCCACCTTTCAGACAAACTATAAAAGCATAATTAAAAGGAGAAAAAAAAAATTTCAAAAGCCCTGCTTTGTAAGCAACTTTCAATGTCAAATAATAATAATTTAAAAAAACACCAAAAAACCAAGCCAAAGAGACATGCCCTGAGCCCAAAAGCTCAAAACATGCATCCACTCCTAACCTGGAGTTGTTCGCATTCGTTATCTGCTTCAAAAAACAACGCAAATGTCTGTCCTAGACTTTAAACAGGAGGTTGTCTTGCACTTAACAACCTGTACAGCAAATTGAATGACAACGTATGACCATAAGGAGGGAAAAAAAATTAGAAACACCATCAGATACTGAGAAAAGGTATTTTAACTCCCCATACTTATGAAGAATATTTCAACCTGGCATTTCCAAAGTTTCATTTGCTGTTTAACCACGCCATGGGAATCATCTGATGTTTGTGACTGAAACCACCCCTCCTGAGGTCTCAATCAGTTTAGTGATTAAAAAACCATTTCTTCTGCATGTTTTAAGGGCAGAGGAAAGAACTGTATAAGAAAGATTCCTTCTAGAGTCTATTACACAACCTGGTGCTATCTAAAGTCACAAAAACAAATCTACAGTAACAAATCTACAACAACCTTACAAGAAAGCTGTGGTATGCAAGATGAGGGTGCGTTACTCTAGGGTGCTGAATGTTGAAATTGCCCTTCCACATCATCCACAACAAGCTTTCCCAAATCAATATACGATATTCTTTCTGTTTCATGTACATAAAGTACTTAGCAAGGTGGTCATAAGTTGTCCTTTAGCGTTCATCTTCACAAGTCTATTTTATTATCTGGAAGCACAAAAGTGATCTTTGCATTTTATTAAGCAAACACCCCTGAGTAAAGAGGTTGATATCCGCTGTCTTCTCGCTTGCAAGTAAGCACGCAGACACTCAGCATGGCAAAGAACTGAAAAAAGAGAGAGAAAGATTTAACTCTGCTATATTTTGTTTCACTCATCAGACCCAACACCTATATATTCATTAACATGTAATTTAATGGGACACTTAATGGGAGCGTAGAAGTCATCACTTTTAAAGAGGGAAAAGAAATTATGGAAATTACATCGCTGAGCAATTTAAGCCTATGAGATCAAACGCTGTAAACAATTACCTCTCTGCTAGGACCAAAAGGGAAGTTTAACTAAGTCAAGCCCCAGTCCTGAGATTAAAAGTGGACAGACTTTTACTTCTGCCTTGAGTTCAGAAACTGGGTGTTAAACAGGAAGTGTTCTGCAACAGCTCACCTTGCAGCCTCACTTTTACAGTGTGGATAGTCAAAGAAAACACTTTGCAGTTACTAAATGGTTCAAGTCTCTGTCAACAAGGAACAGGTTACTAATTTTGGACAACAGCTGCAGGGAACAATGACAAACCACCAGGCTGAAATTTATGGGTCAAATCTTTACCAAGTTGCATAGGCATTTCTTCAATGTGCCAGTTGTGAGGAGGTTTACACAAGGACTTCTCAAATCTCATTTTCACCCCCAAAGTGATCTGGTTTCACCTTTCATTTAATTCAATCTCATGATTATATAAATAGCCCTGCTGCTTTCATTCCCAGTCATATTTCTAGTCTGTTTTGATTCCACATCTCCAGGCACAGGACTATTAATTGGGTTATACCTAAAAACAAATTTCAATGAGCAATTTTTTAAATCACAGTTAAATATAGAAGAGCTGTTTGTTTTAATTATAGATCCAGGCCTTTTAGCGCACCCAGCTTTTGGTACTTTCTACCAAACAACCAAGATGGATTCGCTGTTGACTTGCCATCCCAAAACCCATACCACCTTGCTGGATCCCTTCCCTTATCATCAGACTGACAAAATGGAGAAAGTTGGAAGAAAACAAGCAAGGAACAGAGGACTGGGTCTCCCTCAAAGCCAGAAAAAGGCTGTAGGCCAACAGGACATGGTAGAAGGAAAGGCCCTGAGATCAAAGGATAAATAGTATTATTTCAATGAGGGAAGAGATAAAACATTTACCTTTACGATGGCAAACCCCAGGATTACAAGCATAGCGTAGCTGATAACATTCTGCAGACCAGACTCCAGCTCCTCTGCGCAGCCCTGCCATGAAAGAGATGGGTGAAAACAAATCAGAAGACATAATTCAGCCAGATGTTTCTGGGTTGTTTTTTTTTTCCCCTCCACAACACAACGACCTTGTAGGGCCTGTCTAACCAACCACTGCAGACCTGAGGGCTTTCCATTTTTGTCTTCCAGGCCTGATGGCTTGTCATTCACCTCTTGCTTGTGGGGATGCACTGACATTTGCTGCTTCTCAGAATCTCCTCTGGCTCAGGTCACTTAAAGAAGTGCCCAAAATTCAGAGCCAGGAAGACCAGCAATGATATCTATAAAATTCAACTTATGGGCTTGTGCCCCAGACTGAAGAACCTGGTATGCAATTCTCCAGAATCAGAGCGGTCAGTCCTAGAATAATCTCCTCCCCTACCCCAGATGTGTCTGAACAACATCGCTCGGGCTGTGCCATGTTGCTTCTGTGGCAACACGAAGTGGAAGAGTTACCAGCAGACAGACAAGACCACACATCTAGACTGGTGCCCCTCCTTCCTCATCCAGGAGCTTTTACAGAATAATATGAGAAAGAAGTTAAGTAGAGGAAAACCACAGGGAGAAAAGGCTTTGGGGAACAAATTGGCTGAAAAGAATCGGATGAAGTTATCCCTAAACCCTGGCTAAAGTGCTTTCCTCATTGGTTCTGGCTGGCTGAGAATGATCGTGACCCAGCTGTGAAATCTTTATCCTCACCCGGGTATTGAGTTCCTGTGGCTGATCCAGCCGCCCCGTGCAGTTCTTCATCTCTTGCCTGCAGCAGCTCAGAGGGACGCTGTTGTTACCGGTGGTATTAAACCACTTTGTGGTTGTCCAGTCGCTGTAGTTCTTCACCCCACAACAGCGCAGCTGCCAAACACAGGAGAGTTACAGGGACGTATGAATATATAAGAACATGAATGCCTAGTTATTAAATCCCTCTTAGGCGTACTGGGCAAGAGCTGACCTCAGAATGCAGCACATTTACAAGGAGCAGTACTTCAGGAAAACTTCACAGCAGCAGCCTGAAAAGACCAGCTCTGGAAAGCAGGGAGCACCCTCAATTGCCTTGGAAGATCAGAAGCTAAATACTGCTGCACTGTTCCAGGATACAACCATACTGACCTTCCTCCTCTCCTTTCCCAGCCTAAATTCTGTGTTTAGGAACCATTTTCTAAATAATTCTCAGGACAATTTAAGTATTTTCTTACCTGTTCTTGCAAGTAATCCACAACAGTAGACTCTGAATTTTTCCCATCATACTTGTCAAAGACTAAGCGCATTGTGCCTTGCACGTCAGTTTTTACCTATTTAGAGAGGGGTGCAAAAAAAAAAAAAAAAATTTGTATTGTTTTAACATCAGAGATTGGAATTTTTTCTAGGGGAAACTGCAAAAGATCTGTATCCCAACAGAGCCAGGAGGAAAAACAAAACAAAAACCCATGAACAACCAAGAAAAACCAAACCACCAAAAAACTCAACCAGTGTTTTAGAAAAAATGCCGGTACCACTTAACAAGAATCATGTTCCTGGATAGAAGCTTCCCTCCCCTGACAGAAGAGCCTTCTGTTATGGCCATCAACAAGTGTTTAATTCAATTTAGAGATCATTGCAATGCCTGCCAGGTACTTTATGTATTCAAGAAAACTGGATATATTGGAACGCTCTAACAACGCAAGATCAATTCTTTACTTTTACATTAGTATAGAGATGCTAATCCTTTGCTTACCTTTTCCCTGTAAACAAATCCCAGGACAAAAGCAGATACTTCAGCAATAAAGATAACCAGGATGATGGCCAAAAACTGAAATTAAAAGAGACAGACTGTAAGGAAGAATTCCACAGCCTTGGAATTCAATTGCACATTACCTATCACATTAATCAATAGTGGCGAGTTACCATTATCTGTTGTTGCCTTGCCAACTGAAATGGTTTCCAGAAAATAATTTAGAATGTATGGCTGGGACTATGACAGTGATTCCACAGGATTTGTGCCCGATATAGGCAGTCACCTGAATACTGCCATGATGCGATCTCTGAGAAAAGCCCATGAAACACTTCACAAGATGTCTGTCGAACGGGAGACTTCACAGGTAAGCCAGTAGCTGAGTTAGGTACGTTGGGCACTGCTTTTTGAGCTCACATCGCCTTCAAGGCATGAGTTGAGGGCCTGAAGTTACTCAGCTTGAACCTTTCTGGCTTGTTAAAAATCATTTTAGATGAAGTCGAGGCACACTTTCACGTGCAAGAACATGCAACACTCACCAGCCGCAGGCCAACTCGAGACTCCCGGAAGGTGGCACAGCAGCCCACCAACCCGATGATGAACATGACCACAGCAACACAAATAATGATGACGGCTGGCAACAGAGCATATTTGTCCTGCAGAAAGTTGTCGTAGCTCTTGTAAGTATTGATGACATATCCCCCAACATAGCTGAGACCTGCTGCTGCTGCCTGAAATGCAGTAAAGAAAGTTATTAGCAGTTATTTACTAAGCATCTGCCCAGGAAAGTAAATATGGACCTTTCTGTAACAGTGCAATTAATATTTCAGCTTTGGAAGTAATGAGTACAGTATGCAAAAATCTAGAAGGAAAAAGAAGTTGTGTCATCTGAAGCTGACTACCCATTCAAACGTTAACACAGAAAACAAAATTCACTTCCCATGAATCACTCCTCTACTAATGAAGCACCACTTTAGCTGACCTGAAACACTGGAGTCTGTTGACATACGTCAGCCAGTGTCTCTACAGAAGGCCAAGCTCACGCTGTCTCCCCAAGCTCACCTACATCCTACCAATACTGCCTTTGCAGGAATGAACTTTTAAGATGATTACCCCGCAGGCGGGTTGTTGGTTTGGGGCTTTTGAGAAAACCGCATTCTTTCCACTCTCCCATCAGCATTAACCACTAAAACAGGCACAAATGTTCCTAATCTCAGCAAAACACAGTCCCTCCTTTTCCTGGAGGAAACAGATTTCTGCATCCTCTAAAATAAACTCCTCCAAAAAGATGTTTTGCCAGTTGAGGCAAACACACAGCACACCGGTGACAGCTGCCCAACTAGCAGCCCTGGAGACCGAAGGCTTTTATCTGCAGAACAGGGTACGGCCCTGGAGACAACACCAAAAGACTCAGCAATGCCCTGCCAATGTCTCACCAATGGCATAAAAAAATTTTCTCTCCAGAGTTACAACACCTCACCCACTCTCTATAATTGTGCAGCATAAGACGACACCCGTAAAAACAAAGCACCATCCGTACTGGCATTCTAAAAACTCAAGGGAAACCAGCCTGTTTGTTTTCAATGGGCTACAGCTGCATTTCATCACGCAGCTTACGAGCAGTCCATTACATCCCCTAGTGCTGCATGTTTTAATTAAATCAAACACTCCCAAAAGTGGAGCTAGGACTCACTAATTCCTTTACCTCGTTTGGCTCCTTCCCCTCCAGCCAGGTCTGGTGCCTGCCCTTCAATTACCAGGGGACATCCTTCATTTCAGACAGCTCTCATCCAACACCACTCACATTCCTGGACACTGCCTGTACCTCAAAATTACCGGGATCAGATGCACCAAGTGATGAAACCAGGATCAAACTAACCCTTGAGACGTTTGCACATCACACTAGATTCTGCTGCGTTGGCACTCACATATAGCAGGTCCTCTACAAAGTGAGATATCAGAAAAAGGAATAGGATCACCAATTCTCAAGAGGGTTTGTTTTTTTTAATTTATCATTGTCCACATGCACTGGGTTTTCAGGTGGCGCTAATGATTAAAGCAGTTCCTAAAACTTCCTTCAACTTTTCTTCTCATCGAGGAAAAAATCTCTCTGCCATTTCGCTGCTTGCAGGTGTACATCGATCAAAGCTGCTTCTTCTCTGCTTCTTTTAGGGATGCAAGGAAAGGATGAGACCACTTTCTCTCAAAGGACACCATTGCCTCCTCACTTCACCACCACGCCTCACCTCTTCCTCTCCAACACTGCGTTTCCGTAATGAAAGTGGGACAGGAAAAGTCCCTGGAGCAGTAGCACTGAAGGTGACACTGGGGACACTGCACGTCTATCCTGCCTTGCCTTCAATTGCACAAAAAGAGGGAGGTGCATGACTCAAAAATTGCATCTTGTATTTCTGGCCCAGAGAACTGGATGTATGTGAGACTGTCCACCTATTGTCTGTTCTGGAATGGCATCAACTGGGCAAGAGCAGCCACGGAGAAGGAAGCAGCACTCCTGGGCCAACTATCCCTCATCATGGAGAAAATGTGATGATGGGATTTGCCCAATATATCATAAAGAGAGTCTAAAGACCATCTGCATCATAACTTAATCTTCCTATAGGATGTTTTACACCAAAGAACACCCCAATACTTCCATTACACTTCTGCAAGCTATTCAGACAACAGACACATTCTTCATCTCTGTTGTTTACCCCAGGTTTTCTACCTGTTTTCAACACACAACCCAGAGGAAACATGCCTAGGAAATGGCAGAGATGGATTTAGTTTGCTGTGGCAAACTAGGAAAAACCTTCTTGCTAGTAAAAGGTTACCACAAATTTAAAAGAAATAATAATTATGCAGCCAATTCACAGAAGTCCTAGAAAGCCAGGACTAGCAAAGCTCCGCCACATTAAGCCAACATCAGAGGGTCCAGTGTTGAGTTCGAGGAGAGTCTTGCCTAAACCTCATCCATGTGAATACAGACTGGCACCATCACAGCAGGTTTTTATTGCAGCATTCAGCATTGTCCGGGTTCTGGACAGAGAGGAAACACAGCCAGGAAGAGGTTTACTATAATTTCCGAACTTCTGCTTCCAAGCAGAAAAAGGAAGTGTAATGAGGTAAAAATAAAAGACTCTGGGTAAAGATCTAGCTTAAAGGAAGTTCACATTTTTCCCCTCACAAACTGAGATACAGCCATGCCTTCACCCATGGCTTTTAATTCAAGTGAAGATTTTGAAGCCTTAAGAGCAGGGTTGCTCAGGAGTAGAAGGCACTGCATATAATGGTCTATTCCCTGTTTTATTTTTACAGACGAGTCCCAGAGCCAAATTTTGAAAGCAAAGACAAAAAATATTTCAGAACATGAATTGAGGTCTCCCCTTAAGCCTTCCTAGCACTTAAGGCAACTTCAAAATCTGGTGGAGAGATTTTCCTCTAATGCTGCAAAACCTTCAGCCCATTTCTAGATCTAAGATTAAACTTCTCTAGAAGGATGACAAGAAATGTCCTTTGCGCTGCTGAAGGCACACCTTAAGTCAAGAGTAAAGAGAGTAAAGTACTCCTGATTAAACAGGTTTGTGTTGGATCTCAAAAAAAAAATCTTTCACAAATACAAAGGCCAGCTTAAGCAATTACTTTTGGGGAGGAAGAGATCAAATAATTCCTTCCTCAGGATTAACCAAACACCTTCTCAAACACATCTAAAATTATATAGAAAGTTGCCAGGATTATTCTGAGAAATGAATACTACAAATTGTTCTTGTTCTTCCACAATTTTATTTTTTGTTTTAACTCTCCCTCTTGGAAGTTTTCTTTCCGAATATTTCAGTGCAGAGTAGGATCACACGATGCACAGAGAGGCTTTGCCCGATGCAGCTGGCACCAACCGCGGTGCAGGCAGCTAAGGAGTGATGCAGGGCTGATAGGGGAGAACCAGTCCATCTGGTCTGCGGAGCTGCATCGCTGCCTGCATGCTGCTGTGCTCCACCAGCGACGGCAAGCAGCACATCCTAACCTTACTCCTTCCTCCCCAAACAACCCCAGCTGACTCACTGGGGTTCCAGAAAAAGCTGCTGGTATTTCTTTACAATGCTGATGTTACCCGTAAGACAAGCTGAATAGATGAGGTAAATGGAAATTTTGCAAGAAATCCCCTTTTCACAGCTGAGCGACAAAGCTGCAACCATCTCTGCTGTCTCACCCACCACAGCTGGTGTCATTCAAGGACCTCAGCAAGAATTATCTGCTTTTTCATATTCCACACCCCTGATGGAAAGTGGTGATCTTCAGTTGTTTGAGTGCAAACAATGAACACCTTGTTGAGGTCAAGTGAAAAGAAAGCAAAGCTGTAACAGACAGGTTTTCCCAAGCTGATCTTTAGGCAAGACCTGGGCTGGGCTCCTCACCGAGCTGACCTCACCCACCTCTTCCATACTTACCACGGCCGGCTGAGCCGGGCAGGCAGGTATACAGCGATGCTCTGCTGCACAGATAGAATGAGCTACAACTCTCACCAGCCACAGAAAAAGTACAGCAAGATTTTTACCTTGTGCCCTACCATCAGAAGGGGAATTTTTGATATGCTGATGACCATGAGCTCCTGCCCTTCTAGAGGGGCTCACAGCCACAGAAGGGGCCCCTTAAACTTCCCTCTACACAGCTACTCTGAAAAAGGAAAAAAAAAAAATTTCCATCTATCAGTCAGGCAGAACAGATGCCTTCCCACCTTCCCTTCTTTGTTTTAATAAGTTGACCTTATGTGGTAGCTGGGACCAGAAGTTTGTGTTCACTTGCATTTATCAGCACAGGCTTCTTTCCTCCTCCCACCAAACCTAAATACAATACAGTAGAGGAGCCGAACTACAAGCTACAAAATCAAAGTAAGGTATTTGATGGTTCGAGGTTTGGTGGGGTTTGGGCTTTTTTTTTTTTTTTTTTAAGGTTTCTTCCAGCATTCTCCAATTTCAGACTGTTGATCATCTAGTCTATTAATGCAGACCAGCATGGGGTTTTGTTTCTGGTCAGATAAATACGGAGTAACAAAGCTATAGTGTTAAAAGAGAAAGCTGTAAAACAGGGTGAATTGTAAATTCACCAAACAAGTGTGTTCAGCAAGATGCATCCTCTATACAGCAAAAGAACTCAGACAATAAGTCTTACGAAAGGCATTTCTTTTTTAAAAAGACAGGATTTCTGCCGGGCCAGCACTAATATCCACCACAGCACAAAACTTGGACTCATTTGACTTGGTCCCATATCACAGGCAAAAAAAACCCCAAAAAAACAAACAGGTAAATACCACTGTTTATCTTTAAGGAGTAATAGCATTTGTTTTCTGCAACAAACTACTGCAAATACATACTGGAAAAACTATTAATATCCACACAAACATGTTCTGAACCATTCCCTTCCGGTTCTGCATTGGACAATCAGCTCAGGGAGGTGTTTTAGTTAACTTTAACTCTTGAAAACCACTTTTTTCACCAGTATCCTTGCATTGCAGTGGTTTAAACCAGAGCACCTCACCCTATACAATACATGATGCTGAAGTTTCGCCTTCACATCCAACAACTAGTCACTGGGATGCTATCACCTTTTCAGCAATTCTAATTTGCCAGAGAACAGATTAGGATATCAACTTCCATTACTAATTTGCCAAGTTGCCACTGCTGTGCTGTCCCCATGCCCCCCATATCTAGAATCAAGCCGCAGCTGCACAGCCCCTCTT